AGAGGGAGAGGGAGAGGGAGAGGGAGAGGGAGAGGGAGAGGGAGAGGGAAAAGTTTAATTGATTTGGAACAGTACAACCAAATAAACTGGATATTTTGCTTCTAGTGAATTTGAATCAACTCTGAATTAGCCATAAATAAATTATCCAAAAGAAGAAAAGAAAATCAAGCTAGCTAATGAAATTTTAGCTTTTGAAATGCCAGAAAGAGATTAGCTTACAGCAAATTATTAGATTTGTCTGTCAAATGCAAAGAAAGAAATTTAGGTCTAATTCTAGAAGAAACCCCATAAGCAGCAATTTTTCATCCTCAAAACAGAAAACAAGGTCATTGCAAGGCTTAATTTAAATTGCATGACTAATAATGCAAAGTGTACCTGAAGAGCATGTGAAACAAAAATTAAACATTGACGAGCACATCAGAAAAAAGGCAGCATTAAGCATCAGAAGTTATTAGATGCCATTGAAAAGTTAAGGGTACCCTGACTTAGTAGGAGCAAAACCAATCCCTGGAAAGTACGCACAGTTCAAATGTTATATTTGTCACACATAATTCACAGTTTTGCTTTATTAATATCCATTGAAAAGAAAAATGTAACACTTTGGTTTCATCCTATTCAACTTTGACAGTTCTTTGAACCTGAAACATTCATGTTGAAAAATCCAAAGTTCATCTTAATGACCATTTAAAATGCTTGCGTTTTTAATAATACAGTTCTTAACAGCAAAATCTGTAAAGTCTAGAATTCTGCAAAAATTTGATTTTATATGCCATTGTGCAGCAAGAGTAACTAACATCAGATTCTTCTAGAGTTTGTTTTAATTTTACAATCCTGAAGTTTTTTTTAGGTTTAACTAACGAACAGAAGTGCAAAGTATATGTTTTAAAACCAATAAACATCCGCTTTTTGGCCAAGATTTTTGCCACTTCCCATATAGACATTTGATGTTACTAAACATCAGTTATTTCCTCCACAGCTTTTCCTTAGGTTAGGAAACAGGAAAATCATAACTGTAGTAAAAAGTGACAGTACCCATTCACTTTCAGGCAAGTGCTTCAGAAAGTTGAGCTAAAACTTTAAGTTTAGTTTTCTTTTTTCAAAGGAAGCATTATTTGCCCTTTTTCTTCCTTTTATGATGAATTAGGTAAGTTAAAAGTTGGGTGGGAGTTCCTCAAAACCAAGAATTTCTTGTTTCTTTGCTCTTCACAGAGAATCTCACTGCTGCTCTTTCTTAGATTTACCAAAGCATAAAAGGAAAGATATCTCAAGAGATGTATATAACAAGCAGCCACCATATAGTGGAAGCGAAAACTGCTGAATGTGAGAGACATGCATTTTTCTGCTGCATCACAGTAAGCATGGGAAAAAAAAAAGTTTAATACTAAAATTCTGTTCCCATCAAGAGCTGCCAGTTTATGTGATATCAGCGTACTCTATGCTCCATTAACCACAGTTCTTCACAATAAAGATTAAAACTAAGCTACAAAATTCTTCCGTGTCCCCACCCATCCTCCACCAATCTTGCCCCTTTGATGTTGTGTTAAAAAAAGTTGTTTAAGCCATATTCAGAACACAGAGACACCCCCAAATTGCTTTATAGCTGCAAGATCTCAATGAAAAACTAAATACGTAGCTCTCTATGGTCGTAGTGCAACTAATTATCTATTAGCAAGAGAAGCTATGCGGAAGAAAGAACTATAAGAACCACACATAGGAAAAGCCCTAAACTCCTGAATCTCATAACAGCAGTCCACAAAGGCAGCAGTGAAACATTTTGTTTTCATACCGCTAGATCCGCTATCAGTCATTGCACAGTATGAACGTCACTCTAATGGCTGCAGTGGTGCTGATGGCAGCAGGCCACATACTCAAGCCAGAACTTCTTCCTAGGCAACCTTGTATCTCTCAGGAGGAGTCTCAAGTATTCTTGGCCAACTGCAATGAGCCAGTAAGTTACACTGCATAGCCACGCAAGCAGGAGCTGGGCCTGACCTGGTGCAAACAGGCCACGTTTGAGAGGAGAGGCTGTCCTCAGGAGGCCACATCCAACTAAGCCAAGAAAAAAAGCAGCTCCTGACATGGCATTTCAATGGCATCTAGATTCACTCTTCTAGACCATCAAAATTCTGAGCTCCTCCAGGGCTCCCCTGCTCCCTCAGTTTAACAGCTTTAAGCTGCTCTTATACTAATTACAAAAAGCAGCATTCAAGTCTTCATTCTTATTGTTTTGCAAAAGAGTATGGCAATTTGTAAAGGCGATTAGAAAGGAATAGCTTCAGGGCCTGCATATCAACTCCCTGACTTGGAGGATCTGATAAACTCAGATTTTCCACTCAAACTTCTTAATGCATGACCTTTTCTACAAACGCCTTTTTATTGAAATTATCACAAGCTTTTAAGAGGAAAAGAAACACATTAGACCTCTCTGCCCAGATATAAAACCTAACAGGCAGTGGAGAAGTATTTATTTGTATTGCTGTAGCACCTAAGAGTCCAAGTCAGAGACCTCTTGCAGTTCATCACATTACAGTCAAAAGAAACAAAAGATAAAGACAGCCTTCACAAAGTTTTAAAATATGGTATAGCCTGAAGCATTTGAAACCAGAAAGAGCAAATTTAAAGACAAAACTTCAAAAAAAAAAAAAAAGTTTAATGCTTGGTGCACTGGGAGTGGCAGGGGAAGGAAAATATCAGGCCGTTGAAAGACCATATTTCAAATATAGTTTTCAAAAATATGGTAGATTCAGAAACCCCAGAATAAGACTGAAAATCAGATTAAAGAGCAAAATTCCATGTGGCTGTCCAAAGTAATACTCAAGCCAAAATTGATTAGTTAACTTTTAACTTGGCCAGATTTACAGAATGTGGCAACCATGCAACTTAAAGTTGCCTAAATCAATTTACATGCTATAAAAATAAAGTTTCTCTAAAATTTGAAGGAACCTCCTCATGAGGCTAGACAGGAATGAGCGCTGCGACCTTGATAGTTCTCCCACTTTACTCTCAAGCTCTAATACATCCCATATGTTTCCAGCTACACTTAAGGATCTGAATATGTTTCAGTAAGTAACTCATTCAGAAGTTTTGCCTTAAATGAACATGGATTTTGTTGTTTGTGTATTTTTAGGGACTACAAATCAAAGAAAACAGATTAGAAATTTTACCCTGCAGTAAGAAAAAGATAATGTAATTGTATCTGAGAGCACAGCCTGCTCTTGCAGATACTGAAATAAAACATAGCTCTCATCTCCTCTCAGCTCTGCATACACTGAAAAAACATTTGACTCTCTATCTGGAAGGCTACATTCTGCCTGTAATGGAAACTGAATGGCAATTCATATGCTAAAAAAACCCAAAAAACCAAAAAAACCCAACCTTTAATTGTTTCACCTCTGTTCTGCCTATTAGCTATTTCCCATAAAGATTCATAAAATTATGAAGATTTTCAGAGATCTGAAATATCTTTAATAGACCATTCCCCAGTACTTCTTCCACAAAGCTTTAAACAACATACAAATTGGAAAACATGCAGTCCTGAAAGTGAGAGGTTTTAAGATCAAATCTCATGGCTTTTCAGTTGAAAAATATCTATCACTACAGATGAGTCCTCATTTTACATTAAAACGCTAGCTATTAGGCCCAGACTGTCTCAACATTTCAGAGCTCCCATAAAGTTTCACACTGCGCGAAGTATTTGGGGCAATTTTTACTAACTTCCAAAAATCACAGTAATGCTTTTCCTACTATATCCAAGTAGTCCAACTCAGAGTAACTAGGGCAGCCTAGTTTAAAGGCAAGAAAGAAAGAAATGGTACTTAAAACGTAACAGTGCCTAAAATAGCTTTTCTATAAGCTGTGGCCTACATAAAAGCGTTCCACAAAATGTCCAAATTCTCATCTGGGATGGTCAGCATAACTTGTGGTTTTATTCATCCCTAAAAGGTTATTCTATACCCTGGTCAACAAAACCCATATATTAAATATATATTATCAAAAGGAATAGGACAGAAATAGCACCAGTTCTCAAGGGCAAGATATATTGATTTTCTAACTGCATATTTTATTCTCAGGCACCTACTGAAAAAAAGATAGTCAAATGTAAATAAAGCAAAGACAGATTTAACAAAAAAAATCCTTTCCTTCAAAATCTTTTCTTCTTTTTCTTATTGATTTTAATTAAGATATATTTCTTACTGTGCTTATCATTTTACATCTGTAGAAGCAACATGCTTCCATGGGACATGGTCATATTTGTCAAGACATTGAGACAAGCATGTAGTTTTCTGTAATCATTGCTATTTAAGTTTTTCCTTAGAAGCAGTTCTCCATGGAATGCAGCAGAAATTATATGCAGCGTTTCTTGTTTTGTTTTAAAGAACTATCCACAGATTATATTGTCTTAAAACAAAGTTTTCCTCCCTCTTCCTCCCTCTAATCTCAGAAGACATCAAGACAATGGCAAGACAATAGAATTATTTGCCTTCAATTAAAAAAAAAAAAAAAGAAATCAACTGAAGTGTCATTGTGGACATGCAAACTTCAAAATTTGCCTTTAAGAATATTACTTTGCAAAGCTACAAACAGGAGCAAAGGCAAGTTTTGAAAAGGAACCAACCTCAAAGTCAGTGGCTGGAACTATCAGAAACCAGTTCTCTTTTCATTAGAGCCAGGGAGTTGGAGGAGAGAGTTAAGTTTACTTCTCTCATACCAAGCTCCCTTTCTTACACAGCAAAAGACATTCTTTGTCTCCAGCTAATCTAAAAATGGGCACTCCCAGACAACATCTAACTACAACACAAACTGGAAGTCTAAGATGGGTTGACTAGCAGGGATTATCATTGCAGTGCAGCTCTTGGACCTCCTTGAGGAGTCCTTCATCACCTTGTGTCTCACCCACTTACTGTCTAATTAATATGTTAAGCTTGTATTCCCCCTTTACACTCTACATGTTTTCCCCTGAAAGACTTAAACTTCACTCTACTATGTATGGTGGTACTTCTTGAAAAATAGTTGCCTCCAGGAGGGAAGAGCTGTTTCCATGAAGTTCTTATCCAGAATGCTGTATTGCCATTTTATCTCATGAATGCTTCTAATAATAAAAAATTGATACTTACTTTCATAAATCATATCTGAAAGGAAGAGAGCAGGCTGTTATGCAAACAAGGATATGCTTTTCCAGTTCAAGATATGATTACCTCACCTCCAGCTGCTTGTCCCTATACCCTCACTCAAGCTTGCCTTTCTTCCAGCATAACCACCAGCACACACAGACGCTGCATGGGTTTCATCAAAGCAACCCAAGACAGTTGAAGCACTTTTTTTAGTTTTATTTTTAAACTGCATCATTTTGACAGAAAGGGAGTAAGGGGCAATTAATTGGGCCCACCTGTTTACAAAAACTGTGCCCACACTCATGTTTCAGTGCAGAGCCACGGCAGAGTTTTGAAGACTGCCCCATAACTAGCCCAGCTTTCCATGCACTGGGTCATTTTGGAGTACTTTTGGTAATTACAAATCAAATTCTTTTCCTATCAAATTGACTCCAAAGCTTTGCTGCAGGTACCTGACAAACGTGCTCAAACATCTGTGGAGAACAAAAGGACTTGAAATAATGACTTTTCCTTGAGGCAGCTTCCAGTGAAATACGTTTCTAGCATCAGGCTAGAAAATCTGAAATTAAACCCTAGCTACTTTAGAGATGTAGGGGCCTCAGCACTATCCGCTTATATATTCTGATTTTGCCAGACAATTTAAAGTAGTTCACTTATGTAGACACCAATAAAACTACGTTTATAATAATTTTGCAAGCCCACACCTGGATGTGGTCCACCATTCGCTAACTGAAGAGATTTCCTGCACGCTATCACACTATACAAGAGAAGCAAGATGTTCCCTCAGAAAAGGAAACAGCCCAGAATTTAAGAACTCCCTGCTCCAGGAGACCTCTTGTCTAAACCCATGCAAGTCATTAGTCCCAAATTCACAAAAACGAGTAGGTGTCAGACTAAATCATTTAAGTTGGAGGTATTTACATATCTTTACACAATGGCAATTTAAAACTGCAGCTCCACAGCAGCAGAAGCCAATCTAACTGCTGGTTTACATAGTCCCTCGTGCCTCCCACTGTCACACACCAGTCTCTTCACTAAGTCATTTTCACATAGTACATTGGAAGAAAATTATTCCTTTTTTATGGGTTATTTTTCTGACAGCTTAGCATGCAAAGGCTCAGTAAGCCCTGGAGACCATGCAGGAAAGGGGACAAGAGAGTATGGTATACTAGGAAGGGCGCGTAGAGAAGACAGGCAGGACCATAGCAGCCTGCAATTTGATTCATGTGGACAGACATGGACCAGGAGCCTAAACTGTAAAATGGGGCTCAACTAGCAATATTTTCCAGCTGAGAGGAGACGATGAGGAATGGGGTAGAGGAAGAAGAAAAACAAAACCAAAAATATAAAGCTCCATATCAACTGTGGGCAGATTACCTAGATTAGTAGATTAACCAAGGCCTCTACTGGAGGACCACCTCTTGTCCAAACTGAGCATCAACCTAGAGTAAGGCCTAAGGGCACGGCTATACTCCTCCCCAGTACAGCAGCCACACTTCCCCAGCAAGGACAAAGTCCTCACTCTACTTTTGCAGAGCTAACTTGGCTGTCCCTGTACCACACTTGCAGTGCTCCAGCACCTTGTTAGCTAACACACTGCTCCAGACATGGTCACGCTGTGTGAGTCCACAAGGAGCCAGAGCTGGGCTTTCCAAGAAACTGAAGTCAGTGTGAATATAAGAGCCACAGAACTTTTCATCCAAGACATCCCAGATCTTATAACATCAAATGACGAAGGAATTAACTGTACACTGGGAATTTTAACACACTCAGGTACAACAATCACTGGTCCACATAAATAGCTAAAAATGTAATTTCACAGCTAACTAGTCGAATTTATATTTTGCCACTCCTTGCACAGTGCCAAGCCTGGCACTCATAACACTGGTCAGTGTGCAGGTGCAAGCGTGGGATAGGATCATGGCAGACGAAACTACCAGAAACACACCTCAGGATCAGAGTTTCTCAGTGTTTTTCAGCTAGCACTTCTAGTGACAAAGATACTACCCGAATCAGCAGATATCTATAGAGCCCTGGTGATTTCAGGCTAGTAGTGTGCATGTTTGATGATCAGTACTTTTCCCAACAAAAGGCCATCTTATAATTCAGCCCTTCGAATTATAAGGGACCTTGGAATAGACAACTTTCTTCTAACACAGAGAAAATTGGAGAAAAGGTAGTCCTTTTAAAGCCTGGATTTCACATACTAACATCAATCTCTGCCTACAATCCAGATGAAGTTACGGGAAAGAGAAGACGGGATTTTCAATAGGGTAGAGGCATAAAAGCTTTGCAGAAGTGGCAGGCAGTGCTGGCATGACTTCACAGACAGGCCTCAAGAGGTGAGCAGAAGAAAATTTAAACCTCATTGAGGCTGATGATTTTGCGTAAAGGAAAATACACATACGCATTTTATACACAAACAGAAAAAGAGATCGTGCGTGTTTGTGTGTGTGCGCGTGTCTACATAAACACACACACACACACACACAGAGCTCTTGAAGCGAGGACCTCAGGCGAGCACCTCCCCCCGCAGCGGCCCTGCACTCAAGCCCAGTCGGGCACAGCCGACAGCACTCCCCCAGCGCGGCGCGGCCCGGCCCG